TGGCGGGTTGGCAATGGCCACAATGGCAACCAGCCGCCACAATACCTCATAGTTAGATCTAACAATCTAAAAATATCGAGACTAGATATCTCATTATTTGCCTAATAATAGTGTTGACCCTGAAACCTCGTCTTGATAGAGTATTCTTTGATCTAATTTAGTCTCTATCACGTTGTATTCTTTGTTCCTTTGTCTCTTTCAGATAACAATGCATATTGGAATATCGAGATTCGAGGCCACAATGCAGTCACAAAGCCTCTCAAGTATTAAATAGTGAACAGAATCCTCCATGACCCTCCATTCTAAACCATTCGAATACATCATTCAAAGCTAACAAAATGCCTCCACAGCCGCAGCCGCTCAGTCGTTGGCCACACAACTTTGACGACAAATACGTATTCAAGCGTCTTGACATACTATACAGCCCCACCGACCAACAGCTCCTCCACGATCTAGCACAAGAAGTCTACGACATCGTCGCGCTCGACGCTGTGAACAATGGCCGAGCCCTCGTCAACGTTTTCCGATCGAGTGCGTCGCGCGATAAAATGCTAATTGAATGGCGCAAGCGACTGCCGAGATTACCAGCCGCTTCTCTAGCCCACGTAACGGACCACACTCTTCTATGCGGAGCGCTGTATAAATACCTGAATTGCATTCAAGATGAGCTGCAAACGGAGTTTGACAGACGGCAGAATCCACCGGCACAGCAGGCAGGGGGAGAGAAGACCGCAGTGCAGTCAGTGCAGAGGGGAGTATCCAAGTCCCTACAGCATTCAATCGAGGTGTCAGAACAGCAAGTAGAAGAGCAACTAGAAGGGGAACTAGCACAGCAACTAGCACAGCAATCCGCACCTCAACCCGCACCTCAACCCGCACCCCAACCAGAACAGCCACCAGCAGAGCTACAGCAGCAGCCAGCAAGGTCCATCCAAAGAAACCCAGACCGACAAAACAAATTCGACTACGGTCGGCCATACATAGTCCCCAACGGCGACGTCCAGATAATCCGCGCCGACCACCCCGACATGCCACTGACAATGCGAGTAAGCGACTTCCTAACCGACAAAGTAAATCCACACGACACATGCCCAGACGGAGACTGGATCAACATCGCCAACATCCAATTCGAGCTATTCAAACAGAACCTCACGCGAGAAGGCTATCTGCGAGACAGGGAAACAATCTGGCTAAGCCATCTCTCCCTAGACCAAATCGATCCTGCGAACGTTGCTAACCCACAGATTGGCGAGGTGCGGATGGCCGCGTTGAATTTCGCATCTACGATTGTGCGGACTATTCGCGAGTATTGGCCTAGATTGCGGAATCCGTCTCCGGATCCGTTTCGGGGTGATAGGCGCTCGCCGTTGCCTAGGCCTAATATGACGATTATTATCCGGACTGGTGTTATTAAAGGTATGGCTTAGTTAGCCTTCTAGTTTGGTTTGGTTTTTGATTGAAGGATCACATGCTAACGTTTCTATTCTTCTTCTTCTACAGGTGGTGCCCTAACACCTAAACAGCCAGCCTTAGCTCGTCCAACTGAGAAAATGGGTAGTAATGTGATTGCTCATAACCGCCGTTCTGAACAGGTAGCCCGATACGCAGCCGAAAGACACGCCAAGACGAAACGGAAGAGGGCGGAGGCGGAGGCGGAAGCAGGCGCAGGCGCAGGAGCAAATACCGAAGCGGAAACTGGAGCAGAAAATGAAGCTGCGACGAATGCCCCAGTAACCCGCAGAAGAAGGATAACGAGAACACGCAAGACGGCCATGACGTCCGCGACTGGCACTGACTCTGCTCGTGAATCTGACGATGGCATTGATTCGGCGGGCCCTGAGTTCTCTGATGCTAACTACTCCCCTGCTCCTACTCGTGCCCCTGTCCCTCTCCCTGTCCTTGCTCTTGCTCCTGTCCCTGCAGCTGTACCTGTACCTGTACCTGTACCTGCTTCCGCCGGGGAACAACTCCTGGAAGATGTTGGCGATCCTATGCTTGGGGTTTTGGATACTGAGATGTTTAATGAAGAAGGACTGGTGGGTGCTAGTGGTGGTGCTTTACAGGCGTTCTTTGAGGGGAACCACTGGGTTGGAGATCCGATGGATGGGGTTGAAAGGAGTAATGAGGGAACGAGGTAAGTAAGTAAGCGCGGTAGACACCAAGGACTTTATTTTATTGTGTTTTTTATGCTATGTATGCTATGCTAATGTTGCATTTTGCATTTTGCTATATTTAAACTACCATTTTATGACGCTGTGCATAAACAAGACTTAGATGAAGTAGAAAGATATCGCTGTAGGTATATTGGATGGAACGATAGTCATATGTTTGCAAGGAACTTATATATAAACAGAACCAGATCTGAGTACCTCGGCAGGGACATCACCGCGTTATTGCGACATTTCAAGAGCAGGTAAATGGCTTACTTACTGACCCCGACCGGAATTTATCAATCTAGAAAACATAGTCAGTAATCTTGCCCGGATAATAAGAGAAAAAGGGCTTACCAGTTCAGTGACGCTAGAATAGGTACCACATCCAAAAATAATCATGCCCACGAGGAATACCACACCATTCAGAATCGCAGGCTTCAAATTGTGCTTCTCATACCATGCACCCTCTTTCAGTAGCATATACCACATGATTGGTGGGATATAGAACGACAGACCAGACACAAACAGGGCAGAAATAATAGAGAGCAATTCAGAAAAGATGGGGATAGCCTCAGCAATAATCCAGGCCAGGATGGTAACACAGAACACAAGACCAAGCCATGTACTCCACCCCTTCGACGTGTTGACGAAGCGAACAGCCGAGTCCCGGTACACCTTTCCATGGATATATCGACATACAACTGTCGTATTGATCGACCCCGAAATGAAGATGACCGGAAGCGCTATACCGAAGACAACCCTCGAGACAACAGGGCCCGCCGACAGCAACGCAGGCGATTGCACCCCCTGCCCGACAAAAGCATAGATGATAGACCCAGTCAGGGTATAGATAACAATCTGAATACCGCCTAGCCACCACAGCGTCTTGACATAATCCTCAGGGGTATGCATATCCTCCATGAACGACGGCAGACAGCCAGCAAAAGAATACGCAAAAACAATATTATTAGTGGCCACGATAGCCGCAGAGAAAGTAAGACCCGGCTTCGGCCAAGCAGACCACGCAGAAACATCCGCAGCAGCAAAGCCACCGGATCCATTCGAGCTCTGGATCCCAGTCGCAATCATCGTAACGCCAATAGCCACGAGAATCGACGCAAAGTCAATATACCCCAGAATCGCAATCTCGGCAAACGACGGCGGAATAGCGAGCAGCATCAGGATTGCAGCAGATGCCACGCTGAAGATAATCGAGCACGAGCTGCTTTGCGTGATGGTCTGGAATGCGATGGCGCCGGTCAGGCAGTGCGACCCAATCACGAAGATGAGAAGAGCAACGAAGCTGCCTACGAAGATCTTTGATCCCACGTTCCCCAGCAGAAGGTGGCCGACGGCTGCGTAATGACCGACTTGTGGATACCGTAGTTTGACTTCGCCGATGCTGTAGCCTGCGTAGATGGCAACGAAGCCGAGTCCGATGGTTAGGATCACGCCTGCGACCATTCCGAGAGCGGCGAAGGCAGACGGTAGTCCTAGGCTTCCCAGGGCGATGGCCTCGACTATCGAAATGACAGTGAGTCGTTTCCAGCCTAGACGACGGAATCGGGCGGTCCCTTCTAAGATTCCTTGTAGCTCAGGGTCGGCAAGGTCCTGGTCCTTGGGGAGGGCTTCGGTGGCCATTGCGCTGGGTAATTTATCCATGAGTTGGCGAGGTATATATCAGACTGGTATAGATAGATGTATTGCAGCCTAAGAAATATAAAAATCAACGAGAAAGAAAAACCAAAACGAAGAAAGGCGGATCAGATAAGATCAAAAGAGTTAAAATCAACCGAACGGTCGGACCTCCAGAGCGGAGCAACCCCCTCGACAACATGACAGTCTACCCTTATGAAGGGTACATCGCCTGTCGAGATGTGGAGTGCAGTGGAGCCAAGTCAAAACCATGTTAGCAATCATATTGACAAAGACGTGGAGAGAGACTACTGATTGCAAGATTCCTGGCGCTAGATACGGTTCTAATATATTCTGCAGGCAAAAAGTAAGCCAGCTAGGTAGGCCGTGTCGGGCCAAGCCGCAGGAACAATGAGACAATGATATCCGCTAGGCTTATACAGGATAAGCACCCTGTCTTCCAAGACTGCTAATGCAACTTCCGACCTCCAAACCCCGAGATTGTACGTAATTGATTCGGGAATTTAGCTCGTGAAGAACATCTCTTGCTTTGCAGGTCGCTTATGGGGTGAGATTTTTTTCTTCAGGTGAGATTGGGTTGTCTGTATCTCGTTCAAATATGATATCTGTTTGTTTAGTGTTCTTCCTGTCTCTAGCTTGTCTTCTGGCTCGGCATAGTGAGTGAGCAAGTGCTTGATCTGTTATGTGCAGGAAGATGGTGTCTTGGCAATAATCTATGCCAAATCCCGATAACTGGAGCACAAGTAATTGAGGAGCCCATCACATCGCTTGTACAAATGAAGCCCTGTAGGGCGGGCAAACCCCGCGTGATTATGTAATCTGGCTTAAGTTCCGAGGTTCCATCAGAAACTAAGCTAGCCCAGAAAGGAATTACGTATTGTTACTGGCTGCTTGAGACCAGCGACATAGTAAATAAGGGAAATAAAAACAAAACATGGACTCCTCACCGTGTGCCAATCAATAGCTTGAGTAGTTAATTAAATTAGAGGTTTATTGCAAGATCTCTAGCAGGCTGAATTTGAACCACTGATAATTAATCTGGAGGCTATGGATTTGCTTATGTGTAAAGAAAAGCCATGGTCTGATGTACTGCATGCAAATATAACAAATAGCTCATACCATTGAGAGTAAAAATACAGGTAGATATAAGAGAAGAGTTCGAAGGTTGCACAATTGCACAGTTGGTGTTGTCTAATCTCGGAGCAACTCTTTGTATGTCGGAAGTTTCCAGTTTTTGACAGGATCCGTAGAGAACTTGCTGAGAACATCCAATCTCAAAAGGGAAGCAGCTCCCATAAGATAGTTTCCAAGTGCAATGCCAAAAGCGGTGCCTGAAATCTTATCCCAAAGCCCCTCATCCTCGGCAACACCTGCCTGCACCTGGTTGATAAAAGGGCGGAATGTCTGTTCATATGCCTGAATCGCAGCCATAAGAGAACCATTACCCTTCTCAGCAGGTTCACCACAGTGCCGACCAATCTCCCCAGCCAAGACATAGGCCCCAACAATCCCAGAAGTGGTACCCATGCCTGTCATGACTGGTGGACAATAAGCAGCGTCCCCGACGAGCGCGACACGACCGCGAGACCAATGAGGCATCTTGACCATACCAAGACGCTCACAGTAGAAGTTTTTAGAGTCTTTAAGATATCCCAAGATCTCGTCCGCTCTCCACCCCGCCCCTTGAATCATCTCCTTCAACGCCTCCTTTTGCTCCGCAACATCACCCCGCAAATGTTCCTTGAGCTGCTCTGAATTCGTTTGGCCGCCGAGGTATGCTTGAATCTCTTGCGCATTGTGTCTTCGAAGCATGATACCTCGTCCGCCCGGTGCCGAGTACATGGTAGCGACATACCCTTCCCCCTCTTTGATTGGTTGAGGAAAGGTGAAATATCCGATGTAGCGACCGTTGAGGGGACGGAATGCATCGGGGGCTTCCCTTCCGAGCATCATCTTTCGTGTGCGTGACCCTTGGCCATCGGCGCCAATCACGAGGTCGAATGTGTCCTCGGTGGCATTTGCAAATCGCACGTTGATGGTCTTTTCCTTGTCGTTATCCTCGTAGCTCTCAATTGACGTGCCGAAGATATACTTGGCCCGGCTTTTGCTCAGATCATAGATGATTCGACACAGATCGCCTCTCATGATTTCGTACTTGGTACTAAAGCCTAGACTGGGATTTATAGAATCGTTTGCTGGAAAGAAAGCCTGCCGTTTGCCCGCTTTGTTGACCACTTCCGCTCTGGAATTGAATGTGCCTTGAAGGCATCTTCGAGACCCATGCGCTTCATGACTTCAATTCCGTGGCTGCGAAGATCAATCTGGAGCCCCGAAGCTCGAAGGGAAGGGAAACGCTCGACGATTGTGACGTTGTGACCTAGCTTTGAGAGCCAAAAGGCGAGGGAATTGCCGGTGATGCCTGCGCCGCTGATGAGGATTTTCTTTGGTGCCATGATGTTTCGATGTGTGAGTGGTTGAAGTATAATAAAGTGGAAGGCAAGCTGGTGTTAGAAACGAGGATTATGGTGGCTTTGAGGAGTTTAAATACTAGGATAATACTTGAGACCGATTATCTCCGCTCCGTGTTCAGACCGCTGCTTCAGCCGATGGTATACGGAAAACTTCATAGCTCAAGGAAATCAACTTGTATCCGTGCACCACGGGGCTATTAGTGTAATTGTGACTAGCTACGTATGTACGTAGTAAAGGGGGGACCTGCAACGGGGACATCAGGGGCACTGACAGCCCCGCCTGCGATACAGGTGGGAGGCAAAGTCGTCACTGGGAGTAATAGGGTGCTGGAGAGGAGAACACCATGGGGTGACTACTAAGAATGGAAGAAGGTCTGCGTCGCTGCCTCTCAGGGGTGCTTTTATAGTTATCCACACACGACCGCTGAGTCATCATACTGGATCTCTTTCCTGATGCTGCCGATTTAAGATTGTAAGCCAAAACGAGCAAAAATATATAGTACAAGACCCCCTAGACCAATATACATAGGTCATACAAGAATAATACACTCATGCGAAGGTATCAAGAAAACCCAGCATCTGGCAAGAGAAAGTCCCAGTCCAAGTCGATGTCATATGCAGAATCAAGCCCTTCGGGCCCGCCATCAAGACTCGACCCGGACGCAAATCCAGCATTATCAGGAATTCCCAAGGACGAAGAGTCAACCTGAGTCAGCAAAAGCTCATGACAGAATTCAAGACAGTTTTTCGCACTCTGGGCGATGGACAATTCGCAATCGGCACCCGTTCGCATCGCCTCGACTTTAGCCAAGATCATGCTGAGGAACATATAAGCCTTGATATTTGTCTCACCGTGACGGATCCGTTCAAAAGAAAGAGGAACCTGGTCAGCGATAGACTGCTTGAGAAGCATAATATAACCGGAGTTGCGGTGCAACGTTCCGTCGATGTGTTGGGCTTCAAGTTGCGCCAGGAGCTCGATAGAAATGACGGACATCGCGCACCGCATGCCCTCTCTGAATAAACCCCCGCCATTGACCATTAGTTTGGAGAAGCCTTCATCTGGTTCGGGTGACATGATAGCCATGGCTGTTTCTAGGCTGACTTTTAATGAAAAGGTAAACAATGGGTTTGTGCGGGCCTTGTTTGTAAAGTAACAATGCAGAGGTATCATGAATCGACGCACGAGATAGTCAAGTAGGTTTCGGTGAAATGGCTCGATGCTGGAGTTTTGGTTCTCCTTCATGAAACTGTGGTATGCGCGAGACGCATTGCTGAGTTCTGAACTTAAGGCAAGGACATCTAAATAAGATATTTGTGTGTTCAAGCTGGTCAGGAGATGGAGGATACGGAGGCGGACTGGTAATGAGTCAAGCAGTAAGGTTTGGAATGAGGTAGCGGTGTAAGTGCCCTTTGGGTGAGGCTGAAGTATCGTGGTAGCTTCGTCAATCTCATCGTCGTTGATGTTCGAGGGGGCCTCGGTGTCAGATTCGGGGATAGTGGCTGGCATAGACGAATCCAAAGATGACTGCGCCGTCATTTCAACAATTGTCGTCCACAGCCTCCTACGGATTTCGGCCTACAGCACAGATATCCCCGAGATATGCTTTGGATCTCGGTGTAGGTTTATTTGCATGGCTTTGTGGACGAGAGAGCCCATGGAGGTCCACCCAAGATCAGCGCCGATCGAGAAAATTTGTCGAGCTAGAATTGTGAGACAGTCAATTTGAAGCGCGGAAACACTCAGTCGGTCTTTTTCTAGTGGCCCAGAAAGCCATGCTTGCGCAGCATATACCCATCTATGAACCATTTTTCGGAATCCGATATCTGTATTTTCCTCCTTGTGCAGGCTTGAGCCTATGCCAATCACGAGAAGAACTTTAAGGCGTAGCTCATTCGAGGCATTCTGCGGATCATTCCAATATCTCTGGTAATCAACCCGAAAGGAAGGTATATGAAGTATGCGATGTGTTGACTCAAAAGATTGCAGATACAAAGTCACCATATTATCTGAGATCTCGCGAGACGGGAGTTCAAGGCCAAGCTGGGGATTCGACAGTGATCTGCTAGGCCTCCAGGTCTTGCTTCTTCTCGCTGTGTGTTTGCACTTTTGAAGAAGATCACCGACTTGAACAGCAAGGGCTTTGGTTTCAGCACCTTTGAATGTTTCTCCCTTACCTTTTCCAGTAGCCTCACTATAAAATGCCAAAAAAGGCTCAAACTTGCGACATAATTAGCGGAATGTTTCAACACCTAACTATGTCTAAGCATACCGTACCTCTTTAGCTGTGCTCATCCACAAACTCCATCTCATAACTCTAGTTTTTGTGAAAATCCACTGAAGATCTTCTGGCTGGGACGAGCGGTCAAATATTTCCCGACCCGTCTCGGACAAGCCATGCACAGGCTTTTGTGCCGAAGACTGTTCCAGGCCCTGGACCCGTTGCAAAAGATCTGCAATGGCTGAGTCTGTAGTTTGTGCTTGCCTTGGGTGTTCATCAATCTGACCAGGAAAAGCCGAACCATAATGTGGTGTTCCTGTTGGTGTCCCTACCCCAGTGGTGCGGGGCCCTAATGGCTGGCTCTTAGATGGCGGGGGATCATCTCTGAAGGGTTGAATATGTGATGGTGAAGGTGCGGAAGTACCCAGTATTGATTGTCTTGAGGTGCCTTCTAGAGACTGCAAGGGGGACTTGTGTTGATCGCCATAAAGCTTGTAGGTACATTGTGCGTGGAGACACAACGCGTACAGGGGTCATTTCGGTCACAGCGGATTTTGCGACGGCGACACTCAATGCAAGACAGAGCTGGCCTTCGGCGCCGACGGGACTGAGACTCCATGGGGAATTTCAATATGCTTGCAAGTGTTTGACAGAGAAAAGTCCGTGAGAGCGGAGATTTCGGTAAATGAAAATGCCGCGTTACGGCCGCTTATCCCCGCGGACAATCGAGGAACAACCTCAGGGCTGTCCACGAAGAATTAACCAATAAACTGCATTTCAATTCTCTATCTTAACTTTTACAATCTTGCGGGGTCAATCATCTATCTGCAGGTTATTTGGTCCTTGTACATCGATTCTGCCTATCGGTTCTCTCGTCTCCGACGGTGTTGGTTGTACTCCGTCGGACAGATAGTGAACATGTGAAATGTTGAGTGCAACTGATTCCATTTAAAATAGAGGAAGAGGATGGAATAATCTCTAGTCTATCAATTCACTCAACTCTGTTTATCAAATGGCTCTTCTATCCCTTTTGCTCTCGCCATGGGCTATGGCTGTGGCTATCCCCGTGTGGTTCGCGGTCTACTACATATACCCCTATTTAGTTTCATATGGACACTTAAGTCAAGTCCCTGGTCCTTTTGTTGCTAAATTTAGCAACATATGGGTCGGATTAAGTGCCAAACATGGCCGGAAATATGCAGCAGTCGACGCGGCGCATCGAAAACACGGCAATGTCGTCCGTATTGGTTTCAACCATGTGTCTATCGCCGACGAACGGGCATTGAATATTGTTTACGGGCACGGAAATGGCTTCCTCAAGGAGTAACTCACATTTCTTCCCTATATTGAAAATTACTAGTGTTAACGAAATACGTTTAGTCACTATTATGAAGCATTTGTGGCGCGAACCCCGGGCATGTTCAATGTTCGCGACCGCGCCGAACACACACGCAAGCGGAAGATTATATCCCATGCTTTCTCTCCCAGGTCAGTCGCTGAGTTTGAGCCATTCATGGCGGAAAACCTACAGCGCTGGACAACCCAGCTGGACCGGATCGCGGCTTCCCAGCCACAACGCAACGGGAAGGAATTTGCTCGATACAACGCAATGCCCTGGTTCAGCTACCTTGCTTTCGACATAATCGGAGATCTGGCATTCGGTTCACCATTTGGAATGGTAAACAAGGGCAAAGATGAGACCGAGACGCAGCTCGTGACCGGAGGACCCATTTCATACACCCCGGCAGTCGACGTGTTGAATAGACGAGGCGAGATATCTTCGACATTGGGCCTTCTTCCAGCACTGCGCCCATGGGCTCGGTACCTCCCAGACCCATTTTTCACCAAGGGCGTAGCGGCCGTGGAGAACCTGACGGGGATTGCTGTCGCCGCTGTCGCATCACGACTGGATGCCGCGGAGAAGGGAATGGTCGACTCGCGCAACGATATTCTGTCGCGCTTGCTACAAGCAAAAGATGCGAATGGAATGCCAATGGAGCGGGATGAGCTGATAGCAGAGGCTCTGACGCAGCTTATCGCTGGCTCTGACACAATATCCAACACGGCGTGCGGGATCTTTTACTGGATCCTGCATGGAGAACGCAGTGCACCGGGCACGATAGTTCCCCGATTACAAGAAGAGCTGGACCACGTAATAGACCCCGAAGCAAAGATCGCATCTTATTCTCAGATCAAGGATCTCCCGTTCCTGCGAAGATGCATTGATGAAGCGATGCGACTTCATTCTACCTCGGCTATTGGCCTGCCACGTTTGGTCGCCGATCATAGCCCGGGTGTGGATTTTGATGGGTTCCACTTCCCTCCTGGAACAGTACTTTCGGTGCCCTCCTATACTATCCATCATATGAAGGATATTTGGGGAGACGATGTCGAGGAATTCAAGCCTGACCGCTGGTTGAACCTGACTGCCCGACAGAAAACTGCATTCAACCCATTCTCATATGGCCCCCGGGCATGTGTCGGACAGAACGTCGCCATCATGGAGCTGCAGCTAATTATTGGAACTTTGTTTCATCGATATGAGTTCGCGTTGTACCAGCCAATCATGGAATCACACGAAGGATTCTCGAAAAAGCCCAAGGAGTGCCAGGCAGGTCTCAGATTGAGAGAGCGCAGTTGATTTCCGCATTTTGAATGTATATATGGAACTGATATGAGTAAATGGATGATGTTCACAATGGGAGGGAGCCAATATTTATTGGGATTGCTAATTTGACCGCCTGAGTTTTCAGTACCGCCTTCTATATTAGGTAAGACCATATATTCTGCCAACTTCTGGTTTACATAGTAAAGAAACGTGCATTTTGATCGGAAAAAATCGTATATTCTACCCGATTACTATAGGACTCAGCTCCTTGATGGATGAAGCAGTTGGTGCAGTTGAAGTGACTTAACTTTGTTAATTTACATACGCCGTACAAATTGTAGGTCTATTGTCACGAAAGCGGTGTATAAAATTCGAAGGCGGTATAGAGCGCAGTAGATGAAAGTAGGCGTCGAGGTAAAACAGGGATGTGCACTGAAAACTCAGGCCCGGGGGGGGGGATAAATTAACAATCCCCTATTTATTCCACAATTCAAATCACATTACCGAAGAACATGTCTTCAAGTGATGGGAACTCCTGCTCGATGCCCCATTCGTTGCAAACCCAGGGCTCAGTAGCATTTTGAACTGACTGCGGCATATAAATCCCTGTGCCATTCTCTCCCGTCGAAGTCACACAATCTTCTTGCTCAATCCTATCTGCGACATGTTGCTTCATGATGTTCAGAGACCACCGGCTCACCGGCTCGGCTTTGCCTCCACATTGAATATGAGAGACGGCCTGTTCCATGAGAACAATTATACTTCCCACGTCCTCTAAATGGACCAAAAACTCAGCTAGTGTCACCATTGCAAAGGAACAAAGCACATTCTCGTAAGCAGGATGGATATAAGTGGTCAAATCCGACATGGAGACAAATAAATTCAAGAGTTGAAGCGACTGGCTAATCGCGAACCGAATTAACGGGAGCGTTGGTTCCTCTTGTGTTATCCTGGAGTTGGTCATTCCTTCAGGTTGAGTTTCGCTCGTATGTTGGAGTGTGCGACGTGCCAGAATCAGGTACGTGCAGGCGTATGCAAACCGTAATGGTTGCGAGGAATCAAGCTCTATAAAATAGGAATTAGTGCTTATTCAATGCGGCGATTGTATATTTCTTGCTCACTGTAAATATTCTCCTGGGTCTTTCGCAAGTTGTCGATTTCAGGCCAAACAGCACTTCCCCTTTGTATCACGTTTGAGCTTAGGATTTCCCAAAGGAGTCGGTATAACCTGACTCCAGCCAATACAAGCTCGTCGCGTGCATTGTATGACGGAAAATCGAGAACGTTGGTACATTCGTCAAAGTACTGGCTGGATATAATCGGTGGACGACCAGAGCCCACGGAAAATCTAAGATTAGTGTTAGATGATATAGACATTGGAAGGATCGAGACTTGGTCATTGTAACGCACTGTAACTGACAGAGGCAAATCAAGTTCCACGTGCGCATTATTTCTTGTGCTCTGGCTCGTTCGCTTCTATCGGCGTCGCTTGTCTTTGGAAGCTGCCCAAACGAAGTAGTCATGATCACCCGCATAGCCGCCGTGCCACTGAGAAGCCACGAGGTACCGTGATCAGGGCCCAAAGTTGGGCGCAGGTCCCACATGGAGAAAATCAACATAGATTGTATTGTGTCGAGCGAGGCAGTGGAAGAAAGATGTGCCTGGCCCAGCAGTCCGTGAATATGGCGATACAAAGCTTGATGTGTTGATGACCCATACAAGGAGGGGGTGATATGGAGACCTGCCAAAATACAGGTACCAAACAGGAGCGGCGATTTGGTGCGTAGCTGGACGGGGTCTGTACTCATGAATAACCAGCGGTTGGATAATTTCGAGAATCTGGAAAGTTAACATTGGGATATGTTCTACGAGAACGTCCCGCATGCTCACCCTTTCAGAAGCACGATAGCAAGTTCCTCGGAAACTATACCGTTGATGATAATATCTTCAGTGCTATCATCGCTGGTCGATGGTTGTTCATGTAATGTGATATTCTGTCGGATCTCTTGGATAAGATTCATGGGTGCATCGCGTGCAGTTCGTTCAATAGTTGATGGAGCCTAGAGTATTCAATTAAGTGTATTGCCAGTATATACTTTAGGTAACTGGAATTTACCCCTGGTCTAGTCCGGCAGTCAGCATCACTGTGGACAGATAGTGATGCTTGAAGTTGACTCAAGGTGTTTTCCACCGCACAAAGCCTATTGTTCATCAGTACATCGACCAAGTCTAAAAAAGCCCAGCACGGGAGGAGGGCATACCGCGAATGGTAGTCGTCGCCGCTTGTCGCAGAATCCACCTCCGCCTCCAGCATCAGTTCCGGGTGACTGCGGGAAATGGCCTGGAAAGAGCACCTAACCCTGAAGATAGTTAGATATAAGAGCTTGGTAACTCACATTATCAAACCTGGTTTCCTACCTGAGAACATCACAACGATGACATCGGTCCGAGTTGCCGGTTTCGCATCGCGTTTTCAAGCGCCGACAAGCCTCGCAGGATCGCGCTTTGCTTGGTTTTGGTTTGCCTGAGGCGTTTCTATTTCGCCTTCGTTTCCCAATACAGGACTCGGGCAAAGGCATGATCGATTGATAAAATGGAGTTTCAGTAGGCGAGATGGAGCAAAGAAGAATGAAGATAGTGTGTATCCCACTCTTGGAGAAGACGTTGGTCTTAGGTTTCCCTGTAGATGCGGGCACATGCATCTTTGTCGGAATCTTACAAAGTAGTCAATTATATAACTACGAATTATCCCATGTGCATATCGATGATGCCTATTGAACGGCACGCTCTATTATGTACGCTGTTATGTGGATATATACATAGCTGGCTTCAATCGCTATAGCAAATACCCATCCTTCATTTTTGTATATCGCTACGTCGAGACTCTGATGCAATTGATAGTCTATTGGAAACTTGAAAATTAATAAATTTCAGCCATTGACAGTACAGAATATATCATCCTTGAGCTCTCGAATATCATAAATCATCGAACCCCCACTTTTGGATTACTATCACACTGATAACCTCCACTACTCCACTACTCCACTCATCCTGCCGTCATGATACGCCAAGCGGAAAGACAGAAGTATGTGGGAAGCCGAACTTTATATGCGCTGACCATGAGATCCAATTCAAACATATTAGAGGATCGTGGGTAATGTAAGGGTTTACTCGGTGCAACATCTTAAAAATGAGATCTGCCATAGAGTTTCAACTTATCAACCTGTTTTATGAAAAGTACCAAGCACATCACTGCGTGAAATGCGGCAGTAGCGCCAAGACAAACTTCACCAATTTCAATATCCGATAACATACAACCAAACTCCAAGCCGTGACACCTTGCCCGATCCAAACTAACTCAAGGGAAAGAAGAGGTATCTCCGATGGGAGGGCCGAGCATATACCCGGCGAGCATCATGTACAATGTCGATATCGAGTCACGGTCGGAGAATTTGTACAGACAGGTAGAGCGAATTTGAAGCAATTCGCCATCAAAATAGGACTCTAATACCCGTACATACTTCCCCGTCAACGAGATAAGCAAAACCTATAGAATAGTTAGTTAGTAACGCCGAAAGATAGAATAAAGGAATAGGAGAAAGGGAAGAATCGATAATTACCGGTGCGATCTTATGGTGCATCAGGCGCACCTTTCTCAATTGGGCCAACATTAGGCGAAGGCTGATCAAGACCTCTGAACGGAAACAAGTTTTGTCATCCGCCTCCATGTCGGTATATATGACTGCTTTAAAATGTGGATATTCTTTCCCAGGACTATCTATCATTGTTAAAGCGCCAAATGCGGGAGACGGGCCAAGTGATGGAGTACCATAGAACCAAAGGCTCTTATAAGTACTGTATCGACCACAGCTATTGACTAGCGTTAGATATCATAAATAGATAGAGCGACATAACTCTAATTTCCAAATAGCGGTAGACTTACTCCATCGAACGCCACGGCCCGTCATTCCAGAGGCCTACTTGGCTGAAGGCATAAGAATCTAAGAAAGTATTCATGCCGTATGCAGCCGCATAATAGTCATCATCACCACTATCAGGTTCAGCGGCCTCATCGAGTATCTCATCGTTTGGTAGCGGGAGGTTAGGTTTCGGTGCGAAGAAGCGGGGCTTGAGGTCTGAGTTCTGATCGAGAGTCATGCTGGAGAAGCGAATGTTCCATTTCTTAAGTTCTGTGTTGTTGAGCTTATGCTCCTCAAGGTTCTCGATTGCATGCTCGATTTTCATCAGAAGCCAGCGGTCGAGCTGATGATCACGTGTTTCCACGGAAGTCATGTTTCGTATGAGGGATTTGAAGATGATGAATAGCTTGGATAGGAGTAACTACAATCAATATGTTGTAGTGGGAGGTGAGAGAAGAAAAGGCGGAGAGTTCACTGATGGGGGGAAATGTGATGAGGCGAGTTGCCGAGCGACCAAAGCGCCAAGACCAGGGCCAACGTACCAACGTACCAACTTCACTTTCTTTGTCTCGGACATGGAAAGGGTCAAGTTCATTCTAATCTAAATTTTATAACTACACAGAAAGGTCGTTTCTATAATTTAAACCCTTTCCCGCCTTTTCCGTGTACCTAAAAAGGAGATACCCAAGGAGATCACCGAACAGACCACCGAACGACACGGCATAAGCAGCAGCAGCCTTCTATTCTAATCTTAGTGTCTACAGCTCCTGCCTCATTGGGAACAAAGACTCTCTCTTAACCAATGGCCAACTGTCGACTTCGTATACTAAAGATACCATGCATCGCTCGGATGACCAAAACAGCCACTATCACAACTAATTGCTCTTCATCCAACTATTACTCGCCCTACATGCATGCTTCGCCACAAAAAGACAAAGGAAAGAAAAATCTACCATACCTAATAATTAGAAATCAAATCATCACCAATAATTAGCCTTACTAAAGCATGTGATTCTCAATTGAAGGAGACCCCCCCCCACCCCAGCATAAAAAGAGCATTGTTATCCCCATTTTGTAAATCATTCCTACGCAGTGACAACACTCATTCTTGAAAATATTGCCTATCTGTTTGAATTCTCTTCAATAACACAATGCTTGCTTCCGAGAGGGATGAAATACCCAAAACCTTTCAGGAGTGGTGCGACAAGGTAACCTCTCGTGACCTTAAGAAAGCAAAACTTCACGACAAAGAGCTTGCTTCTGCTTCCAAAATGGGCTTTGACCAATTCTTACTCCTCCGAGTGATATGGAAGACGCACAAAAGAAACATAACCAATGTACCGGACATCAAATATTGGATAAGAGAGGCCGAGAAAAAGCTTCGCTCTTATCAGTCGTGGTCCACATTCTGTGATGGTCTTGGGATCCCAGAACCGCACATAACGGAGCGCTCAGGAGAGCCCTCAAGAGCAAGACCGGAGGGAAACTTTGCCATTGTCAAATACTACCATCAGGAGGTTGAAAAGACCAAACCCCAAGCCGACCCTGAAACATTTGACACGCCTATCGCGTCCCGAACCCGTGCAAAAACAAATCCTCCGCTAGTTAGAGGAATGAAAGGAATGACTTTGGAGGATCCTCAGACTCCATCAAGAGAATCGCGCAAGCCATCTGGAGACATATCTTATGACTTCGATAATAAGACCTCGCCCCCATTTCATAGTCGGATCTTTAAGCCGGAAGATGATGAGAGCCCTGGCTCAAGCCCTAGTTCCGACCCCAGCCCGCCAAACACAATCTCACGGGAAATGGACAGAATTTTATATCCCCCCACGAGGGATGAACAAATTGTCAATACGGCGCTCATCGTATTTCTCAATGCTCTTACCATGCACTTTGATTTCTACTCGAATTGGACCTTGCACAGAAAGCCATTTATCGCTACCTTTGAAAACGCACAGTTTGAAGCAAGGACGGATGGCTATCTCGATAGCCCTGGCGGGAAGACCAGAGCGATCATTGAGGTGAAACCCGTCACAAGAAAGCTAAATATGGTACCTATTCGGATGCAGGAGAGCGCCCAAATGGTCGCTTGGATCAAAAGCGATGACGACTTGGCCCAGCGTACCAACAACCTGTATGTATTTATCCTTTCTTGGGTCAACTACGAATATGCTAACATATTAATAGGCGCTTACACATAGCGCAAGACAGGCATGAGCTATGGGTGACGGTTGCGAAGTATGAGGAAGAGTATCTCGAATATCTAAGCGATAAGAAAGCTGCATATCCGGATGACACTTCGTCGTTCTTGATCATGAACCAGTACGGTCCATGGGATATAACGAAGAAATCCGATATGAAGGAGATAGGGGCGATTCTATTGGCAATCACCTTGCGAGCCGAAAGAGAGATTAAAGACGAGATCCAAATTGAAGAAAAGATCCAAGCCGAAAAGATCAAGGCTGAAGAAAAGGCCCAAGCTGAAGAAGAGATCCAAGCTGAGAAGATCAAGGCTGAAGGAAAGATCCAAGCTGAAGAAAAGATGCAAGCTGAGAATATCAAAGCTGCAGAAAAGACCAAGCCAGAGATCAAAGCAAAGAAAGAAGCCAAAAAGGAACCCAAAAAAAGGGGCAAAACATGATGGAAATTCTTACCTGTATCTGTCATCTATTGCTTGTGATTTCTGACCCGAGATTTGATTTGTTGTTATTCAAAGTTTTCCAGGTTGTTACGTTTTGGTCTTCATGCATGTTCGTCTACACATCTACTGGCGTACTCAGTAATCAGTATATACATACCCGTATATTTGTTATCTTCTTTGACTTATCACCTATCCCGTCTGGTATCAGTCCAGGTAAAATAATGGCATCTGGGCGGAGGAATCATAGGACCTTGAAGCTTCCTTGAGGCTTTCCATGTGCAGACTATTATTTCCCGCGAATAGAAATGTTGGACTTAGTCATAAGAATGTAAATATCAAGCCGAATATACCTCGCGAAGCTGAAGCTCCGGGCACTTGAAGCTTGAGTCAAGTTCCTTTTCAAGCGACAAGTCAAATGATTGTCCCTGTTGAAGAAGCCGGGCAACCTTGACAGCATCCAAAGGACCTCGCGAAAGAGCGAAGATCCTATCCATTTCCTCCAGACTGCGCCCGGCGGTCTCAGGAAACAGGTAATAGATAACAGGTATCATCATTGCATTGCAGCCCGCGAAAATGACAAAGTATGTCTGTCCCATACTGTTGAATGCAATGGGAGTGACGACAGTGAGTAAGATGCTAACCGCCCAGGATATGCTGATGCTAAAACTGTTGATAGTTGTGCGTAGATGCAAAGGCGCAATCTCCGCGGCGTAGAGATATGGTATTGCGCCAAATCCGATGATATAGCTGAAATGAAACAGGAAAATGAAGAAAACAGCACCGCGCATGGCGAGAGGGTTATCGGCTTGGGTTCCGAGGCCAGCTACTAAAGCCAGGCAGACAACATTTCCGATTGCACTGCCTAAAAGCAACACACGGCGGCCGAGTCTGTCAATTTTGAAAACGCAGAAGGCTCCGCCCATGGGGCCAACTAGCTGGTAGACCGCTGCCAGGACCGTGGATGTTGAGTTGTCGAGGGAAAGATTGCTTTCGAAGATAGCGGTTGCTGAAAAATGCAGACCGAGTCAATACATCGTAACAGTAGATGATTCGGGATACGTACTGTAAAAGGTGATGACCGTAGAGCCGGTGAGTTGCAAGAACAACATTGCCAAAGCAGCAATCATAGCTCGGTGGAATGTTCTTTGAGGGCCCATGTGGAATATTTGCCCCAGTGACTTTTCCTCAAACAAGTCCAGTGATATTTGGACTTCTTTGATTTTTGCTTCCACGGCTTGATCGTCGACACATGTGTCTTCGAGAGCTGCCAGGACTTCACTAGCTTCGGATAGTCGGCCTTGTCGGATAAGCCACCGAGGAGATTCAGGTAACAGGTAGATGAACACTAGAACAGCGATGGAAAGTAGCACCACAAAAGCGAAAGGAAATCTCCAGGCAACACTGCCTTGAGTGAATGACATTCCAAAGTCGAGAAAAAGGGCCAGGGCACACCCAAAACCGCTGAATATCCCCTTCATGCCGACGTGAGCACCACGTTTGTTGGCAGGCGAGATCTCCGATTGCCAAAGAGGGATTGTGGCCAGTAGAACACCAGTGCCTACACCGAGGATGATCCGAGACGTGATGAGTTGAATGAGAGAGCCTGAACAAGCCATCAAAACAGCTCCAACAACTTGGACGACTGATCCTGCCATTATCGTGCGTCGGCGGCCAAATCTGTCACCTAGCCATATACAGGAGAGAGTCCCGAAGAAGCCTCCTATTGTGTAAGAGGCTACAACAATGCCTTGGATTGTTGACGCATGTGGTTTATCAACAGCAGCGGCAATGTTGATTTCGGGGAACTGTTCTTCGAAGTTCTTCAGTGTCAACACACCCCCGAGTAGTGATGCATTGTAGCCTACTGTGAGGATTCCCGGCATGAGCACCCCCAAAATGGCAGCTATATTGAGGCTATTGCCCCGAAGGCCAAGGAAGCGTGGCATGTGTAGGACTGTATAGTTATAATGGATCGGTGGGATTAGGATCGTGATCAACGGATCGTCGAAGTTTTCTGTCCAAGTCAGATGTATCAGCCGCTGTCAACTCGGTGAAATCCTCGAGATTTAAAGAAATCGAGGACAGTCGAGGTCCGGTTATTTTGGCTCGTTAGTATCACGGTCTAGGCATTCCATTCTTTGGTGCATTATCTTCTCATTGCCACTGAGCCCAATTAGGATATTTAAGCCACATGATCTAGAAGAGAACATGCAAGGCTATTGGACTCATTCTTCCCGCTGGCTCTAGAGCCAAGGGTTTCTAGTGGCCAGACCGACGATATTTGGAAGAGGAGAGGAAGACAGAACGGCAAAGGCCCTTGTGACAGGGCCCAAGAATGCACAGAAAGGGAGAGTAATAGGAGAGGTGAAAGCCATAGTAGAATTGCTGAAGACACGCCGAAGTCTGGCGTAAATGGTACCTAAGAGCCGACGCAAGGGGAAAGCTCCCACATGAGTTGAGTGTCTAGGCATCTCCAACTCAACACGCTGAATGTTTGATGAGTTTTATTGTACAGAGTCCATGGTCATTTATTCGCAAGTTGAAGTTGAAGCTACAATTAGCTATTGAGTATCACTCATGGAGAACATATATTGCGAGTCCACTTGGGGTATTCACATAAATAAGATATCAGGAAGATATTCAACCCTCACAATAATATTCCGATGGAAACCCACCCGGGCCGACCCTAAGCCAATTTTCTAAGTTCTGCCTAGGAGATAGAGATAGAG